ATCCATCCACCCACCCACTCATCCATCCATCCACCTACCCATGCTTCACTTTCCAACCATCCATCATTCATCCGTCAGTCTCCCTACCCAGTAACCCATTGATCCATTCATCTTTTGTACATTGCCATTCGCCCACCCATTTATACTCCCATCCATTGATCTGTCATTCTCTTCTTCTTCCTGTTCATTCACTCATCTGCCCATTCACTTATTCATCTCTCCATGCAGCTATCCATTCACCTAACCACTTACCTGCCCATTGCCCATCTATCCATCCACCCACCCACCCACCCAACCATCCATCCATTCATTCCCTTACCCACCCATCTACCTCCTCACCCACCCATCCATCCACCTATCCACTTCCTGCACCCATGAGCCCAATGATCTCTCTGTCCATCCACCCTTCTACACTCCTATCCAGCCATCCATTAGCCCCTCATTCTTTCCCTCCTCTAATTAACCTCCCATGCTGTGTATCTATTCAACCCTCCACTGCAACCTTCTGGTCACTTCTCTACCTATCTACCTATTCGTCCATCCTCCCACCCATCTCCATCCACCTGTCCATCCATGGGATGGTTGAGTCTTAGTTTCTGCCTTTGTGAAATGGAACTAGCAAGGCTTCCTCTGTTTTGAGGACTGTTTTGAGAATTCAGCAAAGGTCAGAACACCTGGCCCAGGTAGGTGCCAATTAAATGGGAGTGACTGTTTCTCATTGTGGTCTGGGCCCTTTGTATCCCTACAGTGAAGAAGGCAAGAGGGAGAGGAAAGGGGAGATAAAGGACCAGAAGGGCAAGATGGCTGAGAAAGAAGGAAAAACGAACTCAGGGCTGGAGCTGGAGGAGAAGAAGGAGTCTGGAGGTTATGAGAAGGTCACAAACATGGCCATGTGAAGAGTCGGCACTCGCTTCCTCCAGGCAGCTGCCCACAGATGCCCCTTCCACACCGTGTAAGCAATGGCCCGGATGTGAAACCACCATAATAACTCCATGTAGAACCGAGAGCACCCAGTGAAGAGGCGTGGGACGTGCCCTGCCCCGCCAGGGAGGGCTCTGTGTGCGCATGTGTGGGCTCTTTCTGCCCTCCTTCCAGACTTATCCGCCTAGTGATTCTTCTTGCACTTGGAGCACGTTCTTGGTTGTGGAGAAACCCCCAAGCCCCTACCATCTCATGGCTCCATCTACTTCTCCCCACTGCCTGATTTCTTTTCCTTCTCCCTGCTATCTGTTGGCCAGAACCTACCCTGTCCTACTCAGCTTCAGGGACCAACACCGGGTAGGGGTTGCTTTTCCGAGACCTGAATTAAAGAACTGATAAGAGCTGTTCAGAAGGGTTCCTCTTGTCTCTTGGACTCAGTTTCCCCCTGGGGGAGGCAGATTTTGGGGTTGGGGTCAATGCTCGTGCAGGTACGGGAGAGCAGGCTACATGGTGCCCAGATGCCGCCCCCCCACCCCCCGCCCTCTCCCTGCAATCTTGATTTTGCTCCCTGAGCCCTGGACTTTGAGCCCCGAGAGCACCATATCCTAGGAAATCCTCACTACCCCACCCCTCGTCTGGGGGTCACGTGACCCCATTCCGGGGAACTGGGTAGGGGAGGCTGCGTGCCCCAGGTCTCTTGCGTTCCCCTGGGAAGGGGCAAGTACTTTCTCCTCCCAGTTTCCAGCCTCCCCTTTCACCTCACTTTCTCTGGGCACTGGACCTTGCCCTGGATGTTAACTATTTCTTAATAAGGACCTTGACAAAGACTGGCATCGGGGCTCGGTTCTGGGGCTGATAGCTGGGGTTGCTGGTAGGATGAAGCCAAGGCTGCTAGAACACTTCCAGAATCGTCCACCAGGGGGTGCAGAAAACATAAGTAAAATCAAGATAATACAGGCCCTCAGAGATGCTCCCAGGGAGCCTGGGGCATTTCCGTCCTCCGCCTCCATCAGTGCACAATTAGTCCCGTTTCCCAGCTGAAAATAGGGAGGCATAGAAAGAGGGACGCCACCGGCCAGGTCTCGCGGGCTGCAGTAGGCAGAGCTGGGACGAAGGCCGGCAACCCGCGTGATGAGGGAGTTTATAGGCTCTTTATAGGCTGAGGTTGGGTTTGGAGGTTAATGCCCTAGGATGGGAGAGGGTTGGAGCGCAGGGGTGGGGTGGGGGGCTGTTCCTGGCTGTGGATCCTAGCTGGGAGCACGGTGTCCCTCTGGAATGCTGTGTGGCCCCGGCAAGGTAGCCCCTCGTCTGCACCCTGAGGACAAGAGTTAGGAGGCTTGAAGCAGTTTCCAGGGCCCAAGAGCCATGGCAAGGCCTGGCGCACAGTAGGCGCTTGGGAGACGCATCCCCACCTTTCCTGAGCCTCTCCCGTAGCTCTGGCTGTGGGGAGTGAGGGGGCCAAGGGGGACCTTAGGGAGACAAGGTGCTGGATGCCCTGGACATGGGATCCCTCCCCAGCATACCCAGAACCCCGGGAAGAGGGCCCCATCCCCCCACTTCCTGCAGCACTGGCCACACCCTGCCCTGGGGTGTCCCGGGCAGGCCACTTCCTCTTCTAATGGGGTGGCATCCCCAGAACCCTCTGGCTAGAGGCGAGGACAGACGGACAAGGATGGACAGATTCCGGATGACCGCTGGCCCAGTCTCCCTTCTGGCAGCTCTGGTCCTGCAGCCGGTTCAGGCCCAACCCTGTTGTAAGGCCTCGGGAAGGAGAGGAGGTGGGAAGGGAGCTCCCCCCACCCCCCATTCCCCATTACCGCTGCCCCCTCCAGCCCAGCTGCTGACCCCGCCCCATCCTGCCTGCAGTGACCCAGAGGAAGCCGTGGCTGGTGGGGTTGGGGGCCATGCTGGCCGCCCTCTTCCTCCTCTTCATCCTCACAGTGGTCTACGCCATCTGGTGCAGCCAGTCCCGTGACAGGTGGGCCCCGCTCCTGCCTGAGTCCCTCCCCTGTGGAACCTGAGGGGCTCAGAGCCACTCCCCTCCCCCCGTCCTCGCAGAGCCTCCCAGGAGGCAGGGCAGGGCCCCGGGGGGTTACTCTTTGATTCAGAACCCAGGGAGCCTCATATAACCTCACTGTCTTCCCTCCTGACTCTCTGCCTAAAAAGCAAGGGGGCTTCCCTGAGTCCCCAGGGCTCATGTGTGTGTCAGATGGGATCCGTAAGGTCCTTATCACCTCCCTTCAAACCCCACGCATTTATCCGTCCCTCCGTCCAGTCCTATGTGTGTGTCCCTCCCACTGTCTGCACCTCCGTCCACCTTCCCACCCACCCTCTGTCCGTATGTCCATCCGTCCATCCATCCACCCATCCACTCATTTGCCTAGCCACCCACCGATCAGCCCGTCTCCCTGGCTCTCTGCCAGTTCCCTCACCCACGGTCCTGAGACCCCGGAGGCCAGGGGGCCCGGGTGTGAAGAGCTGGGTTAGGGCCCCGGAGCTCCCGAGTGGGCTCCTGTGCGCGCTTCTTGGCTTCTTGTTCAAACAGCACCGGTGCCCTAACCTGTCTGAGCTCAGCTCAGCTTCTGCATGGGCTCAGAGGTTCAGGGGGGATTGCGAGGCCTGGACACGAAATTCTTATGACGTGGGGTTTTCTGGACCCTTCTTGTCTCCACAGCAAGAAAGAGAAGGAAGAGGGGACTGTGAGAGAAGAGGAGAAAGAAGCAGAGGGCAACGGGGGGCTGGAGCTGGAGGAGAAAGGGGGGCCTCCAAACCACGAGAGAGTGCAGAGCTCCTCTGAATGAAGGCTTCCCACCTGCCTCCTCCAGGCAGGCCTCCCAGGGATGCCCAATGCCTGTTCTGCGCCCTACAAGCAAAAAGCTGGTCCTGGGGCCAGTGAAATGATGCCATGTGGGGTTCAGATGAAGTGTCCCTGAATGAGGAGGGCTCAGGTCCCGCCCCACGTCCCCCCCCCCCTTTGCATTTACCTGGGCCTTTATACACCCCCTTCCCCAGCCCCCTTCTCAGGGGTAAGAGGGACGGTGGGAGGAAATTGCAAAGGCCCTACAGTGTTTGCGGGTCCCAGATCAGGCCCAGCTGTCCCGCTGAGTGGGCCCAGCACATGGCGGTGCCCTGGGAGAGGAGGGTTCCCCCTCTGGGCACTGATTTGCTGGTCACTGCCTGCAAGCTGTTCCTGGGTGCGGGTGCTGAGGTTCGGAGGGAACGCAGCGTCCTCCCCCCACCCCGGGGCAGCTCCCCGAAAGGCTTGAACTCCCAGCGTCCTTGCTGTGCAGCCTCAGCGTGTAACCTAACCTCTCTGCGCCTAAGCTTCTTGTCCAGTAAAAGGGTGGGGGGAGTAACTTGATCCTTTATAAATTGTCACGAGGATTAAACGAAACAGTGTCCATGAAAATCCGAAGCACGGAGCCCGGAACCCAGAAGGTGTCTAATAAATGTCAGCTTTTCGGGAGGCTGAAATGGTGGGGATGCGGCCGGCGCTTGGGAGGCTCCTGCTCGGGGTGGGGGATCTGGAAGGGCACAGGGGGCGTGTCCAGGCCGCGTCCCCGCGTCCCTCCGCCTCTCGTCCCTGCCAGGTGCGCGGGTTCGGGTTCCGAGCTGGGGGTGCGGAGGGTTCGGGCGGGAGGTGGCGCCGCGGCCGCGGGGGAGGGGAGAAGGCGGGGCTGTGCGACTCCGCGCTCTCCACGGGGGCGGGGGGCATACTTCTCCCCTAGGGGCGTCTGGAAGTTGTGGGGGTCCTGTGGCTGTCACAAGCCTGCACCCCTTTAATGGCCTGAAGTCGGAGGCCCAGGGCGGCGAGCGGCATGCTGTGCGGGACCGTCCCCGAGCCCAGAGCGGCCTCATTCCGGGCGCCGGCGTCTGCGGAACACGGAGGCTTCCCGCGCGGTGGAGGCCCGGTTGCCCCCCCGCCCAGCGCCGGCCGAGCCCCGCCCGCCGGCCTCAGGGCGCCGGCGGACCCCTACCCCCACCCCGGTCGAGCTCCCGACCCGGAGCCCCCAAACAGGTTGGGCCTTCGCTCCGCCAAAGAAGCTCCTGCTGGCGCCCCCTTTCCAGCTGCGGGGAGCTGCTGGACCGGGGGCGGGGAATGGGGCGCAGGTGGCTGCGGGCCCCTCCGCCCAAGACCCGGCTCCTGGGTCCAGAGCCTCGCCCGTCCACAAGGGGGCGCCAGAACCTCGCTGCTGAGGCGGAAGCGCCCAGCCCTGTCAGGGTTGGGACGCGGGAAGGGGACCTGAGGCATCTGGGGGGCCTCGGACCGCCCCGCCCCCGTCCCGACGACTGTCGTCTGTTCCTGCCTGGGCGGCGGCGTGGGGCCGCACATCCGCGTGTAGTGGAGGGCACTGTGCCTGCTGGTCCCTCTCTGTAAGTCTTGTCTCCTGGTTCCCTGGGGAAAAAGCCCAAGTCCTCCCCGAGGCCAAGACCCTGCAGGACCGGCCCATTCCCTACCTGTCCTCCCCTCTTCCCTGGGCCCCTCACAGTGCTCCAGTCACGCGGGCCTCCTGGCTGTTCATCCAGCGTCCTGCCCCAGGGCCTTTGCACAGACTGTGTCCTCTGCCTGAAACACTCATCTGTCAGATTTCCAGGGGGCTGTGTCCCTCCTATTCATCTCTGTTTAAATGTTAACTCCTCACGCGAAACCCACTCTCCTTTCCCTTACTTTGCTTTACTTCTTTGGCACTTACCTCCTCTGAAATATATAGATATATTAAAGATTTCATTTATTTATTTGACAGAGATCACAAGTAGGCAGAGAGAGAGGGGGAAGCAGGCTCCCCGCGAGCAGAGAGCCCAATGCGATGCGGGGCTCTATCCCAGGACCCTGAGACCATGACCTGAGCTGAAGGCAGAGGCTTAACCCGTTGAGCCCCCCAGGCGCCCCTCCTCTGATACATATCTTACTTATTCTTATTGTTTACCATGCGTCTTCCCAACTTGGAACTGTAAGGGCTATGAAGGCAGGTTATTTTGGGCATTATGTTCCCTGCTGTGTCCCCAATACTTGGTACTCAGCAGATGCTCAGGAAATCTGCTGAATGAATGGGACTTTGCCAGGTGGAAAAGAGGGAAAGTGTTCTGTACATTTATGGAGCGCTGACTGCGTGCCAGGTTTTGTCCTTGGAGCTGGGGAGGGGGTGGGGTTTCCCGGCACAGAGCAGGTGCTGCACAGATGCCTGTGGGGTTTGTTGACTGAAGACCCTGGGGAGATCCGAGGCTGGTCGGGGAGGAAGCTAGACTGGGGAAAGGTGTGTGGGCCTCCTGGAGGAAGAGGCAGTGATGAGCAAAAGAACAGCAGGAACCAAGGTTCAGGGCTGTGAAACAGACCAGTGTAGGGGCAGGGAGACCACAGGCCACCGGGAGCATTGCAGGAAGGACCTGGGCCCTGAGCTCACCGACGTCAACATGGAAAGGGTGTCCCTCCCATGGGCCCTGCGGACACGGATGTGGGTCCAGATTGCTCTCTGTGTGGGCGCCCTGGGTGCCTGGCCCCAGCCCTCAGTGCCAGGAGCCTCCCCCCAATCAACAAATGTCCCTAGGCACTGTGGAGGGTCCCTGGAGGCTGCTGGACAGAGGCCAAGGTCTCAGCCGCTGCCCGATCGTCCCGCAGCCCCAGCCCCTTCCCTTCCCTCTCACACAGAACCACCCAAAAAGCACAGAAAGGAGGACCCAGGACAGTCAGCGAGAGTTGAAGCATAGCTTGTTTAATTTTTATACATTTTTTTCTTCCTTCTTTTGTCTTTTTTTTTTTTTTTTGCTTTTTATTGAATCTTTTATGGAACCCCCCCTTGTTTCATTTTTTTTTATTTTTTCTTTCTTTTTTTTTTTTTTGCATAGGGAAACAAACAAACAAAATAATAACAGCCAGAGTCACTTTCTGTAAATGGTACGTAGGTAGGCGCATCTGCAGAAACCGAATGACTGCGTAATATACAAGGTTATGACCAGAATATGCTGCGGGCGGCGGCGGCGGCAGCGGGCGGGCGAGCGGGAAGTCGGCTGGTCTGCCAGCCGTCCTGGGTCCCCGTCCCGGAGGGGAAGGGAGCCGCGGGCGGCAGACCCAGCCGGGACCGTCTCCCGACCTGGGTTCACGAGCATGGGGTGTGTGTGATCCGGTGTGTGTGGCGAGCAGGAAGCGAGAGACAGAGTAAACTATCCTGGTAATATCAGTAAAATACAAAATGGGGGGGGGACCTCAAAAAATATCTCGGAGGGAAAAGAAAATGAAAATGAAAAGCAACACCACCAAAAAGTTTTTCAGAGAGAGAAAGTTAGGAAGGAAGGAAAGAAAAGGAAAAGGAAAAGAAGAGCAAAGAACAAGGAAACTCAGGGGGTCTCTGTCCTTCCTCCCTGCCCCGTGCGCTCTTGTCCCTCAGACCCTCTCATCTTCCCCCATGTAGGGTCCTGGGGTGGGAGGGCAGGAAGCTGGGAGCAGAGGCCAGGGCCCCCCGGATTTGAAGGGACTTTGGTTTTGGAGGCCTGGCTGGGACCCAAAGTGGGAGGATGGGGTGGGGAGTGGACTTCAGGGGCTCCCAACCGGAGGGGGCTGGGACAGCTCCCGTCCCCTTCCCGGGGGTCCCCTTCTAGCCAGGAGGTGTGAATGGAGGGCTACAGGGAGGGCAGAAGCTTGGGGGTGCGTGACTTCCTTCCGGTCCGAGCCCTGACTCCTGTTGGATCCTACTGCCTCTTTCCTAAGGCCTGGGAGGACCCCTGCGGAACAGGGGAGGAGAACCCCGAAACCACACCAGCAGACATGTGAGGCACTGCTTGGGAAAAGTCTTGTTTTGGTATCGCTGGCAACAAGTCCCGCTGGCACAGCTTTGGGTCTGGCCCCCCTGCCTCGCCTGGGGGGTGGGGGGATGGATGGAGGGATGGACCGGGGAGGCCGGGTCAGTGTAGAGGTGGGGGCCTCAGGGGTCCGGAGGGGCAGAAGCGGGGAAAGATGGGGGCCCGCAGAGGAAGCTGGATGTAAGGTTGGGTCTCTGGAACCCGTCTTCCAACACCCTCCACAAAGAAAAGGAGAAACCGGGATCTCAGAGAGGGAATCCAGGTCAAAATAAGAAGTAGCCACTGTAGAACCTGTATTATGAGAAAAAACTCCAAAAATTATATATATTTATATATATGCGTGTGTGTGTACAGAATAGCCCTAAACTGGGGGGGTCAGAGTACCGTAGGAGGGGCCAGAGTGGGGAGAGGGTCCTCGAGCGGCGCCTTGCGGGGGTCAGGAGCTGCTCCCGGCCCCAGGCTCCCACCTAACTGGTCACCGTCCCCGGGGACAGAAGGTTCCAGAGCAGAGACGGGGAAGTGTAGGGCTGAGGCCGGACTTGTCTGTTGCTTGGGGGGTGCAGACACCCCCCAGGTCCCCTTCGGGGCTCCTCTTGGGTCTGATTGTCTAGCTCAGGGCCAGGGGTTGGGGTGGTCTGGGCTTGGAACTTGGCAGGAGCCTGGGGGCCCCAGACCCCCTTCTCCGCAGCGGGACGGGACTGGGTCTTCCCGCCCCTCCACACCTCCTTTTCCACCCTCGTCAGGAGCCCATGCCCTCATCCTAGAGAGGCGTGAGGGCAACGTGCATACATCTAGGAGGCCTCTCTGTTCTCTTCCTGCACGGCTGGAGCCCAGGGTCAGGCTGAAGGGCCACCCACTGGCGGGGAAGGACCACGGGTGGTGGGGGCAGCAGGCATGGGAGGGGACGGGCTGGAGAACATGTTAGTTTCACACACGTGAAAAACCATGCAGGGCCCAGTGGCCCTCCTCGTGTTTGCAACACCAGCCCCACTGAGAGCTGGGGAAGGGTCTGGCTGGGTCCCTGTTTCTCCGTCTTATTCTGCCTTCGGCTTTCCTGGGGGGTGGGGGTGGGGGACACACGGGCCCAGGACGGCACTACCGACTCAGCGGGGCACACAATTGGGGGCAGGCTGCGAAGGGACGACGTGGTCCCCGCGAAGACCCTCGGGGAGGGGGTCCGGGTGGGACACTTCCTCCCCTCCCCTGGGTGTCTGCTCCCCAATTCTGGGGGAGAGGGGAAAGGGATAAAACCCAGAAATCTACCGCATGAAACATGACACGCAGGGACGTGAGCTCTCGGACTAAAGGACAAATCACGGCCACGGCCACAGCCACTGAGAGTGCGACCTGCCCCCTGCCCCTGACTTGTGGAGGCATCTTTTTAAAAGAAGGCATGGGATGAGTGTCTGATGGTGGATGGAAGTCAGGCTGGCCCATGGGGCTCCTCCCTGCTCCGGGGGCGGCCATCTGCCTGCTGTGTCCCCACAGGAGATGTGGGTGCCGGGGGGCCGGAGCTTAAAGGGCCCAGCCCTCGGACACCCCACTAACCGGCTGCTACTGTCTCAGCTTTGGTCGAGTAAAAAGCAAAGGAAATTGGGAGAGAGAAGAAAAAAAAAGAACAAAAGCCAAACAAACCAACAATAATGGAGAAAGGAAGGAAAAGAGGATGTGGAATTAAGGACAAGACAACCGTGTGACAGCCACCAGACGGAGCGGCCCGTGCCCAGGGGTCGTCCCCGTGCCCGCGGGCTGTCGGCCGGGTCTGGGGTGGCCAAGCTAGGTCTACAGGGACAGACAGACAGATACTGCATATATTGGGTTTGGCTTCTGTTTTGTTTCATCCCAGATAACCGCCCCCCCCCACCCCTCACAGCTGGAAGACAGAAGTGGGTGCTGGGGCAGGAGGGGAGCGCCGCCCCCAGGCCGGTCTCCAGGGATGGGGGGGGTGGCTGGGGAGTCCTTTGGCAAGAAGGAAGAGGGGTTGGGGGGAGAAGGAAGGGAGCCTGGAGGGGGGCGGCAATGTGACCCTGAGCCAGGGGGACGCCAGCCTGCGGGAAAGGGGAGGCAGGACGGCCACCCCGTGGGGCCAGGGTTCACCCCTGAGGTCCGTCCGCTGCTGTGGGCGGGGGCCTCGGAAGGGGCTCCTCTGGAGCCCAGGGGTGGGGCTGGGGGCGGCAGAGCACCAGGGCGCGCCCCCCACTGCAGCGGGAGGCGTGGCGACAGGGGGGTGGGGGGACAGGGCCAGCCACGGAGCCACTGTTCTGTGGATAGCTTTTCTAAGCGTGGGATTTTCCTTTTTTTCTGTTTTTAATTCTTATTTTTTTTATTTTTATTTTATTTTTTACAAATAGAAATACATCCCCCTTCAGTTTTTATTTTTTATTTCATGTCATTGTTTTGTCTCTTTGTTTTGGAACTACACGAGCAGAGCATGCAGCTATCTGTGCGCTGATATTGTTTAAAGGTAATACTTATTCTCGGAAGGCAAGGCACATCATGTGGTAAAAAATTTCGTGCAAATTAGGAAACATGGAGTTTTTTTTAAGGTTTTTTTTTTTTGTATCTTTTTTTTTTAAAGAGGGGGGGGGGGGGGGTGGGGGGGGGGGGGGGGGGGGGGGGGGGATAGAGCCAGGTACGATTTGCCATGCAGGGTCAGCCGCAGCGAGCTGGCCTCAGGAGCCAGGTCACAGGAATCCCCGACGAAGCACCATGCAAAGTTAGGTAGCTGGGGGCCGTCAGACGCCCTCCCTACCCTGCCTACCCGCACCCTAAGGTTCCCGGCGGAGAAGCTTCCAGATACCCCAGCTGCACGACCCACCCCCTCCTGCCCTCCGGGAGAGCGGCCCATGCTTTGGTCCCCAACAGCTACCCCATGGAGGGGGGCCCTGGGGACAGACGGACGGACCAAGGGTTCTCGAATGCCTCTGGACAATGGGGGGGGCTTGGTGGGGAAGGGTCTTTCTCTGGATGGTTGAGTGGGTTTGCCAAGCCCCTTGGGCTGGTTTGGGAGGAAAGTCCAGTTTCTGGGGAGGCTGGGGGGAGGCTGGCCAGGCCTGGGGTACCAGGAGAGGGCCAGGGGCGCCAGGCTGGGAGCAGATGAGGTGGAGGCCCAGCCCAGGGCGATGGCTTTGGCCCAGGCCAGGGGGTCAGGGGTCGTGGTGGGGAAGGTCTTCCCCAGGGCCAGGCATGGAGGAGGCCTGTTGGGACTCAGATGGATGGGGTGGGAGGGGTCCCTGTGTTTGGGCCTCGTGACCCAAGAACACCTAACACCCCCTCCCAGGCTCCCCCACCCAAGATGGCCATCCTGGGGTGGGGGTGGGGATGGGGCCAGGGAGCCGGGGTTCGGGGGGCACCCGGGGTCCCCAGCTTAGTGTTTTTGGAGCGGCTCAACGGAAAACATTTAGCAGATGGGAGGTCCCCCACATGGCCACAGGGGACCCCCCCTAGGTGCCGACCCCCCCTGCCCCAGACAGAAGTCCCCGACCCCACCCCCGGGCTCGTGCACACTGTGGGTGCCTGGAGGCCCGGCTCTGATGCAACACCCTGGCTGTGCCCCACTTCGGCGGGGGGAAGATGAAAGTGCAAACCGTGGCCCCCCTTTGGGCTGGGAGGCGCCAGGGAGGGGTGTCGCTCCAGGATGTAAGGCACTGGCAGAGGAGGCGAGGGAGGGCCCGCTGGCTTCCCCAGATCCCACCCCCGTGCCCGAGCACGGCAGGGCTTGAGGAGTCTAGCTCTGCCCCTTGGGCCACCTGTGGGGGGGGATCCCCATCTCTCTAGCTCTGAGGGGAGCACAGCAATGAGGGTCAGCGACTGGAGGTGGCTGAGTCGGGGGAGGGAACGGAAGGGGCCCACGGCCACTTCCCATTCCAGCTGGACAAAGGGGGGCGGGCGGTGGGAATCAGGCACTTAAACCACTCGCTCCCACCTCCCACCTCCGTGGGCTAAGCAGGGGCAGGGGGGTCCTCCCGTCCCAGGGCTCGGGCGGATGGAGGCTCCAGACAGGGTGTCCCCTCCCCAGGAGCTCTGAGTCTCTCCACTCTGCCCCCCAGCCCCTTCCTCGGAAAGTGCATTTCTTACAGTGTGTGCAACGTGGGTCCCTTCCCGGGGGTGGCGTGGGGGGTGCGGAGCAGGGCCAGCGGCGGGATGCGGGGTGGGGGGCCTCCTCTGCCGGGGGTGGAGCTGGGGGGCAATTGCATAGAGACTTTTCTTCCCAAACAGGGTAGGCGCGCGGCTGCAAGCCCAAGTCCGAGCCGGGCCGGTGGGGGCCAGGCGGAGGGCCCTCGGCCACGGGACGCTCCTGATAATGCTCCCGCCACGTGTCCCAGTGCCCTGGCGACACCCAGGGTCTCCCCACAACCCTCTTCTGCCTGTGTCGTTTCACCGCCCACCCGGGCCTCCACGTCGGCCTCTGCTGCCTGCCAACCGCCCCCCCCAGGACCCCCCCCAGCACCCGCCTCCCCACTCGGCAGACACCGAGGCCGGGCGGGCGTCCCGGTGGCGGGGGCACAGGGAGAAGTGGCCTTGCTGGGTGTCCTGCCCGGTGGGGCCCGGGCCGGGGCACTGGGCCGCGCTCACCTGGTCTGGGGCGGAGGCAGGGAGCGGACGCCCGCCCTCGGAGAGCAGCAGCCGGAGATGAGTGAGTGAGGACTGAGGACGGCGTCCGGCCGCGGCGTCCCGAGAGTTCTGAGGGGTGGCCGTCTCTACTGTTCGTCGTCTTGGATGGGTGGGTTTATTTTCATGGTGGTTTTTTTTCTGTTTGTCTTTTTTGTTGTTGTGGTGGTGGTTGGTTTTTTTTTTTTTTTTTTTGCCTTTTTTCTTTTTGCTTGTTTCCCTCCTGCGTGTGTGTGTCTATTCTGTCTTTCCGGCCAGGCTGGGAGTCGGCAGGGTCGTCTCGCTCGCTCTAACTTTCCACTGAAAACGTGGGCCGGGGCCGGCAGTGCGGCCCCCTGGGATTCCCGCGACGGAGGAGCAGGGCGTGGGAAGAAATCTTTCTTATCCCAGATACCAGGACTGGGTGCCCAATGGGGACACATGGAGAGAGGAGAGAGAGAGAAAGAGAGAAATGGGGGTCAGGCTCCCACCATGGACCGCACTGGCCACTGCCCGGTGCACCCGCCTCCCCAGGACCCGCCTCCTGTGTCCCAAACATGTCATAACCTGCTAGAGGACCCCGGACAAGGCTGCTGGATGAAGCACAGCGCGCCCAGTGGTACCCGATCTCTGGAGAAACCACCGAGAAAACGCGTTCACGGGGTAACTTCTAGCCTATCCTTACGCCGCACCAATTTTTTGAAACTTATTTTTATCACCTGTTTGTCTGGGATTTAAACCTATCGGAGCCTCCTGGGGTTCTGCTTACAATTGGGTCTCTGTGCCTCGGTGCCCCGAGTCTACAAAGTGGGGAGAGGCTGTGGCTCTGACCCGGTTTCCCTCTGCAACCCGAATCTGTACCACGTGCCACACCGTCCAGGCGACTGGAGCTGTTCACTTTGTTTTTGAACAAATGTTCTCCCATTTAACGATCCCCCCGCCAGATTCCCCACGAAGGAGGGACTATGCCTCCGGCCATCCTGTTTCAAAGAAGAAAATATGGGCTCAGAGAAGTCAAGAAACTTGCCCAGGGCCACCAGCGCGGGGGCACCAGAGGGGAATTCCAACTTGGGCCTGCGCACGGCTCTGGCCCTTGCCTGGCCCCCACCTGGCCCTGGAGAGATCATGACCTCCACTTTCCATGGGGCGGAGGGGTGGGGGTGGGGGTGGGAGGGACTGGGGCACTGGCTCAGGGAAGGTTCCAGCCTGGGTCTCCACAGGGAAGCCACAGAACAGCCCTTTCCTGGAAAAGCATCCAATCCACCTGCGGGAGGCTGGCCCGGGCCACCCCCTCAACTGAGGCTGTCGCAGCGTCGTCCCTCACCCCTGCTATCAATCAGTTGTGCCTCTCCATCCGGGCCGTCCCTGTGGGCCATCCCAGTGACCTGGCGCCCTGGCTCCCAGCCCCCCACCTCCAGCCAAGTTCAAGTTCATCTTGGCCATTACCTCATGTCTGGTTTCTGTTGGCAACCAGACAGACTCTGGGCGTGACCCTCCCCCATGGTGGCCTCCCCTCAGCCCTTCCTCCTTCCTCCCTCCCAGGCCTCTGGTCCCAGTAACTTAACATCCTCCCCCTGGGCTGGGGTGCCGGGGGCGGGGGAGGTCCTGGCTCTGGGCCCCCCCGGCCCAGCTGGAGCCACCAGTGTGCCTCCAGCCTGTGGCTTAGCCCCTCTGGCCCCGGCTGACTCATCTGCTGAGTGGCGCCATGTGCTTCTGGGCAGAAAGGGTCCTGGTACAAAATGTCAGCAGGGCCCTGGCGGTGGGGGGTTCCCCATCACAGCGGAGAGGGGGTGGAGGTGTATGGGCCCATGGAGCCCCTCTCTGGGGACCAAAGTGATGGACGGCTCAGGACTTGGGAAGGGTTGGTGGGGGGAGATGAAGAAGGTAGGTAACTGACCAAGGGGGAGGGGCACTGACGGGGAGAAGGGGATGTTGATCAGGGGGAGGGGGGCTCGGGGGGGGGGGGGGGATATTGAGGGGGGAAGGGACACTGCTGGGAGAGGGGCACCGAAGGGGGAGGAGCACTGCTCGGGGAGGGGCACTGTTGAGGGAGGGGTTGTTGATGGGGAAGAGGACATTGGCTGGGGGAGGGCACTGATGTGGGGGGAGAGGAAGACAGAAGATGGACAGGTGTGGGGGGGAAAGAGGCTGCTGGAGGCTGGGGGGCGGAGCTGGGGGCTGGCGGGGGTGGGACAGGAAAGCAAATGTCCCGGGAATAATGACGGGGGAGACAGAAGTGCTGACTGGGTCAGAAATGAGAGGCCTCGAAGCTAAGAGCCCTTTGCATCAGGGCTCCAGGAGCGGGCAGCAGGGTCTCATGGTCTCCTCCCTTCCCTTAAGGGTCTGCAGGGGGCAGGGAGCAGGTGCCTGACCCCACTAGGGAACTGGGGCACCCTTAGTCCAGGGGCCAGGGGTGCAGCTGGCGGCAGGGGCTCCCCTGGAGTGGCAGTTCCCGCTCACCCAGGTTGGGGCCTCACCTTGCCCACATCCCAGGCCCCCTCGGGAGCCTCTCACCCAGCTGGCATCTCCCTTCCATGTCCTGTGTGCCCCGGCAACACCAGCCCCAGAAAGTTCTTTCTCATTTCCAGACCCAGCTTAAAATCCTTCCATAGCTCCCCACAGCCCTGAGGACGAAGCCCACCTTCAGGATGTTTCTCCAGCATTTCCAGCCTTTGTCAGTGCCAAGCCCCTGCCTGGGCACCCTTGTCCTGCTCTCCTGCTGGCCAGCCTTTGTACCGGCTCCAATCCCTCCCTCCCCAGGCAGGGCGCTAGGTGCCTCTCCTTGAGCTTCCTCCACACCAGCTGGGGCCCACTGGCCAAGGGGCGGCCACAAGAAGCACAGAGAACCAAAGTATGCCCTGGCCTGCCTCGGTTTCCCTCCTCTTCCAGAACATCGGCTGGAAGGTAGAGGCTGAGCATGGGGAGGTGAGGGGCTGGGAGCCCAGAGAAGAGTTAAGCAGGCAAGGTGTCCCCTGGCCACTTCCGTTTCTGAAGCAGATGGGACATTCCCAGCCTCTAACTGGGGGCAGGCGAGGAACCACGGGCTCCGGAGCCCTGGGGAGCGGGGGTGTCCTGCTGGGACTGACAGAGGGTGGCTACGGGGTCCCCAAAACCCAACGTGCGGAGTCCTGGAGTTGCCCCAGCTTGCTGAGGGCCCCTGACCAAGGGGTCCCTGTCTGGATCCCGGCCGGAGCTCTCCCGAGGTGGAGTACTCAATATTCGGAGCGGGCAAGGGTATGTGGGGCCGTCTCTTTGCCCCTGGGGGGCCTTTCTAAAGACAACTGGTCCTGAAGGAGCGCTCCCTGGGAGGTGTCTGAGGCCAGAAGATGAGACAGAGGTTCAGAGTGGGTAAAGCAGAGCCAGGTGTGAGCCCCGGCCTCCCGACCCCAGCATCACTGCTGAGGCCCCGGCAGGGAGGGAGGGCAACGGCTTCCCCGTACACCCTAGCCCCTGCCAGCTGCCAGGTCTGCCCAGGAGGGTCCCCAGCTGATTCTGGTCTTAGCGAAGGACAGGTCGAAGCCACCTCTCCACCTCCTTCTCAACCCCTGCCCATGCCCTGGGGCAGGAAACCCTCCCCCAGGTACTGGAGGGACCACATGCGGCCTCGGGGTCCCACAAATGCGCAGGCTCTGGGACCCCGGCGATCTGGAGATGCTGGGGAGCCCCGGGCTGCTCGCTCTGCACATCTGGGCATTGGGGGGCCTGCAGACCTGGCTGTTTGACATCCTCCAACACCCTCCCTGACACGTACTGGGAAGCAGGGACTCCGGGCTCCAGACCCCACCCCCAGGCACCACCCGCCAATACACGGCCAGCCAGCAGCGGCAAGGACTCAGACGCCAGCCCTGGGAGCTGAGGGCCACCGGTCTTAGCTCTGGACCCGTGGGGCTCTGCTCTCCCCTCCTGCGTGGCCTCAGGCAACTCGCTCTTCTGCGCTGAGGTTCCGGGTCTGGTCTTCCGCTCCCCCCGCCGCCGCCCTGCGGCACACTCGGCCCCATGGGGCCCACTCAGCCTCAGCTCCCCTTTCCACATCAGAGACTGCAGCCCCGGGTGCGGGCTGCGCAGGCTACTGGGGGGCCCCGTCCTCGGCCTGCCTCCATTTCCCTGGCTGCCGCCGGAGTCCTCGAGTCCGCGGCTACCCTCGGTCCCCCTTTCTCATGCCCCCTCTGGCCAGCAGCATGGAAGGGGATGAAGGCTGGGGGCTGCAAGCTTGGGCTGACGTGCTGTGTGATCCTGGGCAGATCCCCTCGCCTCTGTGGGCCTCAGTCTTCCCATCTGTACAAATGGGCCTGGGGTGGTACCAGCCCTGGCCTCGTGGCAGCTTGGCTAGGAGGGTCTCCCCGTTGGGAAGCGGCAAGCGGGGCTGGGGGCTGTACCACGTCCCCGGGCGCGGGCTCGAGGCCCTGGGAGGGTATGGGCAGCTGGACCCCCTACCACACACAACGGCCACTGTGCCAGGGGTACAGCCGGAGTGGCGTGGGACCAGCAGGCCGGCCTCTCCCTGCGCCCCCAGGCGGGGCCCTCTGCCCTGCCCCGCCCCACGCCCCCCCCAGCCGGCCTCTCGGCCCCTACCTGTGCCTGATAAATGCCCGCTGGATCCCTTGGTCCTAATCCCACAAAGGAACGGTTTGCAGGGGACGTGCCGGGCGTAGAGTAGGCTGCGGGGAGGAGAGAGACCGAGAGCCCGTTAGCAAATGGGGGCTGTGCGGGAGCACCCAGAGAGAGTGGCCGCTGCCCAGGGTCACACAGCCGGGCCTCCGCACCCAGCACCCGGCACCTCCAAACCTGCCGCCCTCCCCGGCCGCTCCGGGCGCCCCGGAGAGCCTACAGTGCCGGGCCCTGGGGTCCCGCAGGCGGGGCATCTGCTGAAGGAAGGCACGAGACGAGATCCAGAACCAGAGACCGCCCGTGCGCTATTCAGGGGCGCCTGCTCCTGCGGCCTGCACCCCGCGCGGGGCGCGTGCGTAACGGAGGGCGCTTTACTGATTCCTCCTCCTCTTGGAGGCCGCACAGGGAAGGCTGGGTGTTTGCAGACACACGCGCACACACGTTTATAGTTACGCTCACGTTTAGAGTTGTGTCTTCTTCCCCCCAGCTACGTTCTGCTGGTGAGGGAATAATTCCCAGCCCGAGGCTGCCGGGGAGGTTGGGGGCCTGGGACAGGCTGGGCCCAGGGTGGCGGGAGGGTCCCTGCGTGGGATCGGCCAAGCTGCATGTGCCCCTAGAACCGGGTGCGGAAGGAGGAGAGGGAGCTCATGGCCCGGTCCCGTGGACCCTCAGAGGCCTCTCTACCTAGCGAGCGTGATGGCTGCTGGTCCCATTTTACAGATGAGAGTGGTCAGGGCCGGGGTACCCAGGCCAGTACTCTCTGCTCCCTGCCTGGCGTGGCGCTGAATGTCCTCCCTGGTCTCGCTCCTCCCCTCGCTCCCCGCCAGCCAACTGGGTACCCTGCGACCTCGCTATTTTACGTCTGAGAAAACAGGAGGCTCAGAGGGCAAGGACATTTCCATGAAGACACACGGGGACGGAGCTTCAGAGACGGGATTCAAACCCGGCGCCTACACCACACCTGGCACAGAGAAAGCCTTTCCACTCCTGCAGCTGCCCTGGGTCCTGGCTGGCCCTGGACGGTGGGGGCAGGGGCGCGCCTGCGGGGCCCCCCACCCCCGGCCAGGAGTGGTGAGTGTAACGGACAGACCGGGAAGTCTGGGGTTTCAGAGATCACCTGCTCGGGACAGCAACTGAGACGGCGTGGGGGGGACGGCCCAGAGCATGGCAGCCCGGAGGAGCGTGCATGGCCCCCCCCGAGCCTGCACTGGGGTTCAGGGAGAGCCACTGCTGATGGGGGTGGACTCCAGGACTGCGATTTTCAGAGCCACTTCCCAGCCTGGAGCAGCCCCGGCCTAGCGGGTACAGGAGGGCCACCAAATGGTCATCTGGAACCACATCCAAAGGACGGAAAGTTCTAGAAGGCGAGGCAGTCAACTCCAGGCCTTGTAAGGTCAGGTGGGCAGGTGGGGACTATCCCGTCTAGAGGCGTGGCCCAGCCTGGGTCGCCAGCAGGAACGGGGCCCATCAGGGCTGCCTTTTTTTTGTTGAGAACCCACAACTCTGAAATTTTCACGTGAACTATCCTGACTCTAAGACAACAATAAATTCTCATTTTCCACCAACAAAAGGCATCTGGGGGCTACCTCTGCCCCCAAGGCCACCAGTCCGAGATCTTTACCTACTGCCACCTGCCTGCTGCATGGAGGAGGGCGGAGGGGCTGGGAGCGGACACGTGGGGACCCCAGACGCCCCTCTGGTCCTCTCCTGCCACTCCCTAGGGCTGCCTTGGCCCCAAGTGGGCCCGACCACATGGCCCCCCCCGGGCCTCTATCCGTGGACCCACCAAACTCACCGGTACCCCGCGGGCCGGGCCCGAGCCCCTGACCCCAGCAGTCGGGGAGGGGGGAGGAGGGGGCCCCTCAGGGACGCCCGCCCTGCCACGGGCACCGCTTCCCGAGTGCTTACAGGGCGAGGTCGGCGACGTGCTTCCTCCCTCGGAGGTGGGTTTGGTGGCGGGGGGGAGCGCCAGCCGCGGGAGCCCAGGGGGCGGGGGTACCAGCATCTGAGCAGAAAGGCAGTGACTGGACATTTTGAGCTGACCACTTCCATTTAACTGGGAGGAACAGAGAGACAGGTGGTTAAGGCGGCGGGCGCCCCCTCTGCCTCGGGCGGCCAGCGACGGCCCTGCCGGGGGAGGGCCGGGCTTGGCGTGACCAGGCGAGTTTGGTGGGTACCGCTGCCGCCCCCTCGCCTGGCCCCGTAGGCTTCTAGAAGCATCCTGGGACCCTGTGCCTCCTCCTGAAGCCACTCTTTACCCATCTGTTCCTTCCACAAGACGCCACCTAGACCTGACCGGGGTCTGACCCCACGGGTGGGGCTGTACACTCCCCTCGTCCACCTCGCCCACAGCTCCAAAATGCAGAGGGCTCTGAACCCCAAAAGCTAGTCTGGAGAAGGTGGGCCTGCGCTGAGGCCCCAGGCCGTGTGTGACTGGGGGGCAAACTGTGTGCTGTCCTTTCCGGCACCTGGAACAGCCTTTGTGCTGACCTGGCCCGGCTCCGGGCACTTCAGGCAGGGGAACGTGGCCCCACTGTCCACAAAACCATTTAAGACGGGGGCTGCCTGGCGGAGGGCCCCCCGGGGAGGTCCCCTGGAGCCCTGTGTGGGCAGGTGGCCCTGTGGGGCAGAGGGGAGGCCCAAGCCCCCCACACTCACCGGTCCAGGCTGCTGGCTGGCTGGGTCACAGGCCAGCGACACGAGATCTTTGAGCGGGTCCTGGGGGTTGAGGTGAGGCGGGTAGCGGATGGCCGTGTGCGGGAAGTAGGTAGAGGCCGTCTGGGGCAGGATGGAGGTCGTGGGGAAGTGCAGGGCGGAGGACGGGTGAGGGCTCCGGGCGATCCCTGCGGAGAGCAGGTGGGGCGGTCAGTGCAGGCTCCGGCTGGGGACATGGTCTCTCTGCGACTGGGTCTGCAGGCACGAGCCCGACAACACAGCAAATCCCAGCTTCACACGCTCAAGCTTGAGTACTTCTACCGTAAGCCCATGGGTTTCTGGTATCACCATTGTTTAAAGCAGACTCCACACCCAGCACAGAGCCCCACACGGGGCTTGAACTCATGACCCTGAGATCAAGGCCTGAACTGAGATCAAGAGTCGGACACTGAACCAATGGAGCCCCCCAGGCACCCCGGTTCCATCTGGTTTTGAGACAGGACATGGTGGCTCTCTGAGGTTACGTTCCCCACCCCAGACCACACAGCCAGCAGGTGGCAGACCCAGGGAAGGGCTGCCCCACAGCCCACCCCAGGGCTCAGCCAGCTTCCCGTAGACAGTGCCCTGGTTTCTAGCACATTCTCTGGGCAACCAGTATGACAGTTCCTTTCAGGACACTCCCATCATCCTGAAAAGCAACCCTGTCCCCACTAGCGGTCACCCCCTGTCCCCTCCCCAACAACCATAAGTCCCCACCGGCCCCCTTCCCATCAGTGGAGGAGCCTGGTCTGGGCGTGTCACATGTGTGGACTCACACCCCGTGCGGTGTGGCCTTCTGTGTCTGGTTCCCTCCCCAAGCGTCGTGGGCTCAGGGTCCGCCCGTGGGGGCACCTCACTCCTACTCGCGGTGAGTAACGGGCCTGCGTGATACTTGCTTCCTTTTCTTCTTCTAAACCACCCAGTAACTCCTCGTATGTTCACTCTCTTTCTAGAACATTTCCATCCCCCCCAACGGCAGCCCTGCTTCCGTGACCACTCCCTCCCCCTCCTCTCTCCAGCTGCCAGTGAACAGTGTGGACTTCTGGCTTCTCAGGCCCCAGGTTCTCCTGCAGCTACTGGGCTCTGCCCACCACTGCCTGGGAGCTGCCAGAGATGGCGTGTCCACGGGTGGACGCGGCCAGGCAGCCATGGAACCCGTGTGCGTGTCTGCCCTCGTGGGGCACTAGAGCATCATCATCGTGACAACCAGCTCCCCGGCGACATTCAAGCCCTCGATCTAGCTCATTTGATCCTAAACACAGTCCCCTGTATCCCCTGGGTGGCCTTCACGTGGCCTGGCCTGTGTCCATCCCCTTCTGGGATCTCCCGACCCTGTGTGGGCTGAGCGTGAGATAAGGCGAGCAGGCGGAGGGGGCAAGCCCAGCCCAGAGCTCCTTCTGGTACAGACGGGGACACTGAGGCCTGAGAGACAGATCAGGGCCAGGCGACCCGAACCATGGCACCTCCAGGTGTTCTTGCCTGGCTGGGAGGTGATGGCAATAGGACTCATGTTGAGAGGGCCTGAGGGACGTCCCTGGCCGAGGGGGACCCGGTCAGAGGGACCGCCGCGTGCTCACCGCTGTGCACGGCGATGACGGGCCGGTGGTGCTGGGTGAAGCTGGAGAGGCGAGGTGAGTCCTGGGGAGATGGGCTGTGGAAAGGTGACTTGTCCATCTCTGTCTTCTTTACCGGCGACGAGATGCCTACGTGGGGGAAGTCAGAAGGTCACAGGGCCGCAGGCAGACAGAGCCCGGCCCTTCCTTCTCACAGCACTCCGGGGGGCGAGGGCCCGGGGAGCCCACTGTCCGGGGCGGGGGTGGGAAACCAGGGCTCCGAGCACAGAGGGGGTGGTCGCCCAGGGTCACATGGGCCGTGGAGTGAGGAGCCTGGTGCCCACGGAGGGCTGCGGACATCAGGCCTAGCCCCTGCCTTCTCTCCTTCTGGACACAGGCACGTCCGCTCGGGGCTGCCCCGACCCCCTGGGCCACCAGGGCCCTGGACAGAAGGCCACAGGGTCCCTCGGGAAGGTCCACCGGGCACAGGTGTGCCAGCAGGACGTGTGTGGACCTCATCCTCGCTGCAGTGAGGACAGAATTTCCTGTGGGGCCATCGTGAGGGGCAAGGGAGACGGGACACAACAGCTGTCAGACCAGGGCCTGGCACCCGCCCGGCCTGCAACCCCAGCACAGGGGCCTCACCGTCCCCCAGGGCACCCGGGGGCCCTCCAGAATCAGGCGAGCCCCCTGCACCCCCACCCCTGCCATCACCCAGATGTGTAGGTGGAAGGTGATAAGGGCAGAGTCCCAGGCCCGGCTCCACCCCTGCGACCGGGGCACAGGGTCTGCAGATAGATATGCTTAGAAATGATTTTTAAGAATATTACTCAGAGTGACATATACCCTCAGAGTGACATGTACCCACAGAGACCCAGAGTGGACTCAGGCATGTTGGGGGTGCGCCTTCCCTCCCACCGAGCACTGTGGACGTAGGGGCCGGCCATCCCGGGGGGGGGGCATCCCACCTGCTGCAGGCCAGGCAGCATCCCTGCCACCCCCCAGCAGCCCCCACAGTGTGACAAGCACACACTCGGTCCCCGGGCCGAGTCGCCCTGGTGGGAGCCACTTGGTTTCCGGGATATCCGGTCACACAGGCCCCCCAGCCCCCTCCTGTGCTGTGTTCCCTTGGCCACGCCGCTGGGTCCTGACTCTCGTGGCCCCTCCCACAGCCATGCTGGTGGTGACCAGATCTGGGAACCAGCGCCCCCCTCCACAGCCACGGGGGCAGCCAGGAGGTTCTGCTGTTACAACTCTGCTCACTAGACCTGCATGCACGCGGCGCGGGGAGTGCGTGAACCCCGGGACCCGGGTCGGTGGGCCTGGACGCTGGGCAGCCGGGATTTCCCAGGGAACCACTCTGCCCCGAACAGCCATCAGCTGGCCCCGTCACTCTCTGGGAGGGGCCAAGGGGGCGCTGAGCAGTGTCCCCAGCCCCAACACCTCGGAGCCAGGAGCCCCTTCCCAGAGCCGGAGCAGCGACAGCCCTGTCCTGATGTCGGCCTGGGGTCCCTGGGGGCAGAGCGGTTAGGGCACGTCTGGTACCGCTCCCAGCAGCCCCGGGCAGGGCTCCCAGGAGTCACCCTCACTCCACAGATGGGGACCCTGGCTCAAGGCCACCAAGCTGAGAAGTGGTGGAACTGACTCCAACCTCCACCAGCCACGCTCTGCACCCCTCCTGCCCCCACCGCAGCTCGATGAGAGGAGAGGGAAGCCCCCCCACGTGACAGAGAGAGCAAGGAGTCGCCTGCCTCACCCAGTACCATAACTGTATGTGGGGGGGCCCATGCCCCTGGCAGGACGGCCCCAGGAGCAGCAGGAACCAAGCAGTCTGGAGGGTGCCCCTTTCTGGCCCTCAGGGGTGCGTAATCAGGGAAGGCCTCAGGAGGGGGTGGCCAGGAGGAGGAAAGGCACTCCTAACCTGGGCACAGAAAGGGCAAAGGCCTGAGAGGTGGGGCTGTGGGGATGCTGCTGGGGGCAGGGGGGACATGATCCCTCCCCCACTCCCAGGCCTCTGCTGCCCAGGTAAGGGATGCTGGGGTGGGGTGGGGGGCTGTTAGCTGAGCACTGCCCTTGTGGCCAGAGCAGAAGAAGGGAGAGAGTGCTCTAATCAGCTTAACCCTCTTAATGAGCAGCTAATTGGGGGCTGTCTAGACAGGAAGCTGGAGGAAGCCAGGAGGAGGAGAAAATGGGGGAGGGGGGAAAAGATGGGAAGGAGAGGAGAGGGAGGAGGGGCAGAGGAGGGAGGAAAGGAAGAGGGTGGGGGGAGGGCAGAAGGGGGAGGGGAGGAGGAGGAAGGGGAAGAGGAGTGGGGAGGATGTGAATCTATCTTCCCCACCAGGCTGGGAGCATCTGCAGGGGCCCAGGCACCCACACAGCGGGGGTTTATACTGAGGGCCTTGAAGAGAGTGAGTTTGCCATCACCGGAGGCAACCAACTGAGGCTAGAGGGGACAGATCCCCTCTGACATTCCCCTCTGGCCCTTTACACAGCAAAAGCTGGTGTGGGCTCCTCCCCGTCCTCTGCCACGGCTGCCACTTCATGCTCAAGGCAGGAAGTTGAGACCAAGCTCCAGTGACTCTCTCAAACATTTCCTTCCTTTTAATGTTTTTGGGTTTTTTTTGGAGCTTCCTGCATTGAAAGCTAGCTTTTTGACTTCCACCCCTTCTCTTTTTCTCATCCACAGACTCAAGGCTATAATTTTTCCTCTCGGGGCTGCGGTGGCTACATCACAGAGGCTGTCCTCTGCCTCTAAACAGCATGTTCCTATGTAGATTGTCTTGCCAATCAGAGCCAGTCTCCCCAGTATCTGCTCTACCCTTCTTCCTTAGTACCAGAACCCTTAAATTTGAGATGGGCACATACTTGCTGAAAATGACATCTCCTAGTCTCTTGGAGCACAGTGTGGCCATACGACCAACTCAGGGGCACAGAGATAAGCAAAAGAGATTAAGTGCATTTTCTGAGCATTATTCTTAAAGGGCAAGGACATGCTCAGACTTGACCCTTCTTCTTTCCTGCTGGCTGGAAAACAGACATGATGGCTGGAGCTCCAGCAGCTGTCTTGGACCATGAGATGGGAACGAAAACCACATTCACTGGAGCATAAGGCAGGAGCCCAAGTCCTGCACACGATACACGTCCAGGGTTGCTGATGGCTGAACATTTACTTTCGAGAGAAATGCCCCGTCCTTTTAGGTTTTCCGTTTCTCACAATCAAACTTAGAACCCATTAAACGCAGGATTTTAATAGAGGCAAACCTGACAGAAATGGGGAATGCACAGAGAGAGCGAGTCACAGAGACACTCTGACACATAAATCAGAGCGTGTAATAAGTAGATCCGCCCAAAGTTAGGTAGCTGCTCTGAGAGCCGGCCCAAGGGAAGAGCAAGGACTCTCGGGGCTCGAATGCTACAACCAGATGTCTTAAAGACCGAATCCTAGAGATGAGAATTTTATAAAGACACAAACAATGAACTGTGCCCCGGGCACTTACCCTGTGCTTTAAGAAAAGTTGCTTTAAGCACGGGCCTCCTTCCACCTCCAGAAGAAAACAGTTAGCTCATCAATCCCATTTGGGACATAAGGAAACAGGGGCTCAGAGAAGTCAAGTCACCTGCCCAAAGTTACACAGCCCAGGCAGCGAGACAGCCGCATTTCAAACCCCGGTCTCTCTGCTATCCAAACCTGCTCTAACGGTAATGTTAACTACCTTCCAGGAATCCTGCAGGTGCGACCGACACTTTGTATAGATGGAGTTTTAAAGACAAACAGGCCCTCGGGAGACAGAGAGAAGGGACAGAGGGGGAGGAGACAAGCAAACCACTCTTCGGGTTTCGTGAGTGCGCAGGATATGCCAGGCTTGTTTTAGGGACACCAGAGGCATTAACTCACGTAACCCCCACAACAACCGCAGGCGGGGACTGCAGGCACTAACAACCCCATTTCACAGAGCAGGACACCGAGGCTCAGCGCAGCGGGCTCCCCAGCGTCCAGGTCGGCAATCCCAGGCCAATCCGTGGCGCGAGCCCCCATTACGCGCAAGGGTCGGGACGCGGCGGTGCTTCTGAAATCTGGGGCGCGGGTTCCGCGGAGGCTCTGCGCGTCGCCAGGGACGCCGTGCCGGGGTCGAGAGGCAAGCGCAGGGGCCGCCCTGCGACCCAGGTCGCGACAATCCCCGAGGCCGGCGCGCTGCAGAGCAGAAGGCCGGACTCCTCGGAGGAGAGCGGCGGCGGAGACGGGGCCCCCGGGGGAGGGAAAGCCGCGCAGGGGCCCTGGGGGAGCCGACGGACCCGCCGCTCCCCAAAACGGGACCCCCGCTGCGGAGGGCCCACGCAGGCAGCAGCGCGACAGGCGGACACGAGGACGCAGGGGGAAGAGCAACGGGGCCCGGAGGGCGCGGCACTCACTCGCGGGGATGCGAGCTCCACAGGACCACGAGGACCCAGGCAGAGGGGACCCCCTTGACGACGGTCTGTGGCCGACCCCGGGGGGGCAGCGTCCTGCTCATCGGAAGCTCTGCCGAGTCCACTCCGGAAGCCGCGGTGACGGACCCCACGGGGATGAAGCCTTACCGGGCAGCGCACACCCTCCGCTCTCCCCGTCTCGGGGGAACCAAAAAGCTCGGGAACTACAGCCCGGTCTCCCAGCGGCGAACCGCCCGTGCGACTACAACTCCCAGGAGGCTCCGCGGCTCCACACCCCGAGCCTTCCCGCACCCGGGGGCCCGCGCAGTGCCTGCCGGAATATGTAGTCCCCGCCGCCGTAAGGCCGACCCCGAGGCCGGCTCCGCCCCCAGCGCCAGCCCCACCTCCTTCCATGTCCTCAGTCCAGTTGCGGCTGCTACTCGTGGGAGAGCTGGGCGAGGTGTAGTAATCGCCGCCGGGGCTCGTGTCCACGTCTTCCTCCATCGAGCCCGATTTGTGCCGCTTGCTCCTAAAGGGAGAGGGGAAGGAGAGAGCAAGCCGGTTACCACGGACACCCGAGGGTGCTGGGCGGGCGGCGCTGACTTCCGGGCCCTAGAGGGCAGGGCGGGCGGGGTGCTCTCGCGAGACGTCGCGGGAGCCGCGTGAACTCCTGCCTCCACCTGCCTCCACCTGCCTCCACCTGCCCATTGCGCGGACGGGACGCGCGCGGCCGGGGGCAGTGCGGGGCTCGGGCGGGGCAGGCAGCAAGCTAGCGGGGTACGGACGGAAACCCCGGAGGCCTGGCTCGTCTCCGGGTCTGCCGTAGACCTCAGAACACCGCGGCCGGACCACGGTCCCATTTTACAGATGGGGAAGCCCGCGCAGACGGTGTGACCTGCTCCAGGTTGCAGAGCGAGACCCGGTGTCTGCCTTCTTGTGGGCTCTCAAGGGCCGGGCTCACGGGACTCAAGGCTGGGGGAACGCTGCCTGGGGCGTCGGGGCTGGGGAAAGCAGCGCTTGGGGCTGGGTTTTGAAGGATCAGTAGGAGTTTACCACGTGGCCCTTGAAAGCAGGCACTGCTAGGAGAGGAGTGAGCCAGCGGGGGTCAGATGGGCGTGGGGGAGGGGTCGTTGAATGCCCCCGAGGCGGGGACCAGGCAGGCACGTACCCGCTGGAGGAAGTGCTGGGTAGGGTTCTTCTCATGCCCGTGCTGGCTGGATTCAGGTCGTATGCCAGGTGCCCCTGGAGCTCCCCCAGGGAGAAGTTGGGTCCTGTCCCAGTCACCACGGGGGCTGCAGAGGGCAAGAGAGAGCAGAGTGAGAGAGGGCGCAAGGTCCAGGGCTGCCCTGTGCCCTGGAGGGTGCCGAGAGCCATCTGGGGGCTGGCCAGTCCCAAAGGGAACGCCTTCCCTGATCTGCGTGGTTCCTAATTTGGCTGAAACTGTCCTTATCTTATGGATCAGAAGAGCAAAGCCGGCAAGAGAGGCCAGGGGCACGCTGCGAGGCAGAGCCAGAGCTGGGGGGGGCCAAGCTTCCGAGTGCTCCCTGAGGCCAGGCTCTGCTGATGGACAGGGAGAATGATAGTCAGGGTGAAGGCGGGACAGTGCCCAGGACTTCCTGGGGTGGAATTGAGTCGAGGTGTCACAGGAGTAGGTCCCCAGCAGGTCCATTAGGAAGGTAAGGGAACAGGAGGCAGAGAGAGGAGGGGGGTGGGGCCCTTTGGGGTCTACTCCTGGAGGGGTCGGGAGGCCCCAGGAAAGGACACAGGGGCAGAAGGCTTTCCAGCACCCTCCATCCAGCATGTGGAGTCTGTTAACTGGGAAGGAGCGTGTCGCCCTGACCTTGGGCTCTAGGGAGGGCCTGGATGCCGCCCTTCCTAGGAACCTTGGCTTGGTGACAGGGGAGTGGGGCAGGGTGATGGGCTCCTCGCCTCTCCCTGAGACCCTTTTTCTCTCAGAGCCACCCCCCCAAAGCCCCTTCTTCTCCAGTGCCCCTCCCCTGTGGGGGTCCCTCCCCCTCCGGATCCCAGCACGGGGTGGGCGGGGACACTCACTCCGGGACACTTGGATGAGCTCCGTGACACTGAACACACCGGAGGTGACAAAGCTCTCCTGGAAATCCGTGGTGTCTGGAACAGGGAGAAAACGGGGCTCACTGGATCTGTTTCCTTCTTCGACACGCCAGGCGCTGGAGAGGTTGCCATGTCTACCCCTTGAAGCCCCGCGGCAAGGTGGAGGTAGAAGCTGGATCCGGGTTCGAAACTCAGCTCTGCTGTCCAGATCTGATCTTGGGCAAGTCACTGCCCATCCCTGAGCCTCCCTGCTCCCTAATCTCGGAAGTGGAGGCCGCACACCCCACCATCTAGGGAGGCTTACACGTAGAAATCAGCTGCCCAGGAGGGGCTGGCTTGCTTTCTTCCCGTCACTCCTTACAACACGCGATGCCCCATCTTCTTACCCCTCCCCCTCCAGACGGGGAGCTCTGTGATGTTCTGTGTGCCCAGGTCCCACAGTGTCCCTAGGCCCAGACCAGAGCCTGGCCAGCAGCAGCGGCTCAGAACCAAAGGCTGAATGGAGGTCCCCCTGCAGCAGTTAAAAATCCCCAGTGTCCCCAGAACCACTTCTGCCTAATGTCAGAGGAAGAGGGACCCACCTCTCTGGTGTGGGGTAGCCAGAGGGTTTGGAAACAGACTGGCTCCGAGAAGGCGGGAGGCCTGGCTGACCTCAGACAGCTGGGAGGCCTGTTGTGCCCCCAGAGGTCCACTCGGGCAGGACTCACTTACTTGACAAGCACTGACCAAGTGCCTTCAGTGTCCAGCTCCAAGCTAGGCGCTGTGGACACTGTGGGAACAAGGCAGACACAGTGGCCTGCTCTCCTGGGACTCACTGTCCAGTGTGGGCAGTGGACACCACGTGACATCAGTAAGGCACAAAACCCTGTATGTAAATTGTGCACAGAGCCGTGGTTTATGACAGCCTCGACTGGAAACAATCCATCAGCATACTAACGGAGCCACAAAACGTGGTCCATCCACACGGGGAGCGTCCCTTGGCCGCGAGCAGAAGTGAGGCGCCCCACAGGCTGCGCGGGGACGGACCCCAAGCCCATGACGCTCAGGGAGGGAACCACATGGGGTGTGAGTCCACGCGTGTGACACGTCCAGAACAGGCTCCTCCACGGACAAGAAGGGGGTTCGTGCAGGCTGGGGGTCTGGGGGGAGGGGATGGGGTTGCTTTTCAGGTGATGGAATGTTCTGGAACTAGACGGTGATAGTTGCACAACAGCGCGAATGCACTTAATGCCACCAACTGTACATTTGCTGTTACGTGAATTTAACCATGATAAAAATAAATTTAGGATCATGAAGTCCAAGGTGCCACGTGTCATGTGGTGGTAGGCAGGCAGGGCTGGGGGGCCTGCTGGAAAGGGGAGCCGCTTTACACAAAGGACTCTCAGGAGGCCTTGCTGTGGGTGACATTTTACCAAGACCTCCTGGTAGGGGTGGATAAGAGGAGTGGATGCATTAAAATTGAGGAGATGGAAAGAACGGCAAGTGTTGGTTGCCATGATTGGAGTGATCTTAAACTTGCTGTTTTGCTGCCTCCCCAGGCGCAACAGTATTCCCACCGGTGGCCCAAGCAAAGGCCCTGGGGTTGGAGGCCAACAGGGCTGGAGTGAAAGGAGCCAGGGAGGGTGGTCAGAGCGGGGACCTGACCAGCAGGTGGGCAGCTCTAAGCTTTTCGGGGTGGTGAGAACAGTTCTTCTCCAGGCCCCCAGGGGGCAGCACGGGCCACAGGGAGCTGACCTTGGTGCCCAGCTTCCCCAGCTGTGGGAGACCCAAACCCTGGCCCGTCCAGAAACTGCAGCCTCCCTGGTTAGGAGCTTTGCGAACACCATTTCTTGTGCAATTAACTATATTCCCAGCCCCGTGCTGGGGGACTCAGGGCCACAACATCCCTGGGAGGACAGGGTGAAGGCCCCCCAGTGTCCAGGGGAAGTGGCCATGGCCGTTTCCTGCCACCCAGCTGGCCAGCTGGTGTCAGCACGCCCCTCCGCCTTCCCCCCACCGGGGTTTCCTGTTTGTGCAGCACTCGCCCAGCTCCATCTCCTGGGGACTCCCTGGCGGGTGGGAGGAAGTGCTTTCCTCTGCCAGACGCTGGAGCTCCCCATGGGACCAGGCCAAGTGCCGCTGCCCCCGCCTGCCTTGAACATCTGGCTTGGAGGCAGGCGCCTGGAGATCACAGGAGGTCAAGGAGGACTCAGGGTCACAGACGCCCAGTGGTGAGCAGCCTGGGGGGCTATGAACCTCCTGGAACCATCCGGCCTCCCCATGCTGGTCCTTCCTACAGGGATGTCCTCACCCACGGGCTCTTTCTTCTATTTTTCCTTCCTTCCTTTTCATCTCTCCTCCCTCCTCGCCCCTGGTATGCCATCGCTCTAGTTTCTCTTTCTCTCCGCTTCTTCCCTCCCTCTCTCTTTTTCTTTCTGCAAATATTTATTGAACACCTGTTGTGTACTAGGTCCTATTCGAGGCACTGAGGACACAATAGTGATCAGGATAGACAAAAGCCTCTGCCCTCAAGGAGGTGACGCTGCATTAGAAGAGAGACACACATGTGCGGTCACTAAGCAACTAAGCAAATACATATGCACTCACTAACTTCCTCAGAAGGAAATAAAACAGAAGGTGGCCATTGAGAGTGGCTAAGGCTGCTTGAGATCAGATCTCAGGTGAGACTCAGGAGATCCAGAGGCAGAGACAGAGAGAGAGCACAGCTAGCTGTCCAAATAGCAAGCAAAGCACATGCAAAGGCCCTGAGGCAGGGACTGGACCTAGATCATTGGAGGAACAGCCAGGAGGCTCATGTGGCTGGAGCAAAAAGAGTGAGGGGGAGACAGGGTGGAGGGGAGGGCAGGGAGGGTACAGGGACAGGTCCTGCAGGTCCTTAGGGGTCAGGGAAGGACTTTTACCCCCAGGGAGGTGAGAACCCTCACAGCTGTGAGCAGAGGAAGGCAGGACCTGACTCAGGTGCCCACAGGTGCTCTCTGGCTACTTCAGGGAGGACAGATTGGGAGTGAGAGGACAGAAGCCAGGGGACCAGGGTAGAGGCGACCGCTCTGGTCCAGTGGGCAATCATGGGAGCAGACCAGAGCAGAAGCCGGGCCTCTGCAGCTTCTGAATCCTTTCTGTTCTCTGGGGCTCTGCTCCCAGCCCTGCCTGAGGCCCTCCCACTTCCCACCAACGTAAACATCTGTTAAATGTCTCACGGGACTGCAGGGCCCCCTGGGGCCTCTCTTGTGAGGTGAGCACCTCAGGGACCAGACACTGGGAGCTGAGGGTCATGGGTTCCCACCCTATCTTCCTGGGTGCCCCAGGAAGGCCCTTTAACCTCTCTGAGCCTCAGCTTTCCCATCTACACAATGGATCAACAGCGGCACCTGTCCAGGGCATGTCTGTGGCGAATGAACCAGGAATGTCTGTGAGGTGCCCATGCAGGGCCGTGCAGGGCCACACAGAGCACACAGGGTCCTCCCGCTCACCCTACGCTGTCCCCAGACTCACCCAGTGTGATGGGCTTGCTGTCCTCCTGGTCGGAGCCCATCCCTGCCCGGGGACTGCCACTCTGCTCCGCGTCTGCAGAGAGAAGGGGGAGGAGGTGGTGACACTGCGGGAAACCCCACCCCAGGGGGAGCGGTGACACCCGTGCTGGGGCCAGGCTGGGTAGTGCCGTGCAAAAGTGGTCCCCGATGTGCCCAGGCCCTGGGATCACCGCTTGGCTCCTCCCCTTGGCTGCTGCCCCACGGGGTCATGGGCGTCCAGAGGGTCCCCTACGCAGCAGAACCCATGTGCAGGGCCTGGCTCAGTCACAGGCTGGAGATCTTCCCCTCCCTGAGCCTGTTTCCTCTTCTCTGAAATGAACGGAGCTCATTTCCTAACTCGTGAGGGTAACTCACTCACCCTGCCTTCACCCAGGAAGCAGGAGCTATGGTTTATGCCCATTTTACAGATGGGGAAACTGAGGGCCAAAGAGATGAGTCCTTGAGCCCTCAGCGACCGCCCACGGCCTCTGACCTTGATGAGGTCCTGGGGGTCCAGCCCTTGGTCTTGGGTTGTCACGCAGGGGCCCCCAGGAGGGGGCAGAGGGGCTTCCCCCTGCAGCTACTCTACCCCCGCCCACCCCCCTGGCTTGGGGGCTCCCTCCCACCCTGGCGCCTGCCTCTCCATCTTATCTAAAAATAATCAGGCTCCTTGGCAGACGGGCGAAGCAGACAGACGCTGAGCTCAGCATTATCAGCTCCGGAGGACTGGATGGCAAGCAGCACCAACCCCCCTCTGCACTCCCTCCACGTCCACCCAGGACCAAGGCAGGGGTTGGGGGGAGCCCATGTTCAAGCCCAGCTAGACGGAACCCCCGGCCCTACCTAGTCGTCTCTCAGGTCAAAGACCAAGGTGGTGGGAATCACCATCAAAGGCCAAAGAAAGAGAATCAGCTCCTTCCGCCTGCTGCATCCCAAAGCCAGACCCAATTGCTGTGTGACCTCAGGCAAGTTGCTGAACTATTCTGAGCCTCAGTTGTCTCTTCAAATGGGTGCAAGCACCAAGAGGTGGGAAAGAGAGACTACCGAGAACTGGCTCCCTGGGGCTGTCCACACGTTGTTATTATTGTTGGTGTCATGTTTCAATCCCGAACACGACCGTCAATGTGATGCTTCACTGTTCCCATTGGAGACGTTCCCTTAAATCCCTAAGAGAGCCACACATCTGGCATCGTCACTGGACCCATCTTACAGACGAGGAAAACTGAGGTTGAAACAATGAAGGAGCACCCACTTCTCCCTTAGGAGGGTGATCTGCCTTAGTCTGCACGCGCGCCCAGACATCCCCACGTGGCCATGCCTGATGCGTCTGGCTTCTGGGCTCAGACGCTGGGTGCCCATCCCAGCTCCGGAAGCCTCCGCGGTGAGGACAGGGCCCGCAGCAACCCTGGGGTCCGTGCTGATGCCTCCCAAAGCAGCCATGAGCCCTCACCCTTTGCCCGGTGGCCCTAAAGGGCACCAGAGCGAGGACCCGTGCCTTGGTTTTCCCACTCACGACAGGAGCGGTTGAGGGCAGCCACAGTCGTGACCCACTGGGCCGGGCACGGCTGGGCAGCGGCTGAGCGGAGTGTACCTGGCTCGGCCCCACGCCCTGTGGCTGCTCCCGGGCTGGGCAGCCAGTGGCCCCTTGGCGCCGGCCACTCCCGCTTGGATGGCCATGCGGCTGGGCACGGGTGACCCCTGCGTTGGGAAGAGCCCAGCCTGGGCAGCCGGCCGTCGGGCTGCAGGCCTCGGGCACAGGACCCTCTTGCGGAACTGGCGTCCACGTGGACTTAGCAGGCGGCAGTGCCCGCCTGGCACGCGGGTGCGGCCCCAGGAGGGGGGCATGTTCCCCGAGCGCAGTCCGCAAGCCAATGCTGGGGAATCAGGGCACTGGGGCTGGGACTCACCGCTCCCTGAGCCTCACTCTCCTCATCCGGCAAGTGGGCGCAACTCCAGCTCCTCTCTCAGAGGCCCCGCTGAACCAGAAGGGTGGTAATGGGGGCAACATGCTGGCCCACACGGTGGGGGGCTCACCCTCAGCACCTCAGCAATCGGAAGGGGGCGTCTTATTATCATGAGTGCGATCTCCCCTGTTTATGTTCTAGGCGCTGGTACTTTGCACCCACCGAGAGCGATGGCCCTGGGCTAAGGCTGGCTCCAGTTGGGAGCCCTTATCCCCGTGCTCATTCACTCTGTGACCTTGACCGTGACCACACGACCTCTCTGAGCCTCCGCTTCCTCAGAGTGAAACAGGGAAGATAGTAAAACCCGCACCCTGGCTTTGTCAGGGCGCCAAGTCAGCTAATAAGACGTGCAAAAGGGTTGGCATGGACTGACATTCAAAAAATGGTAGTTTGGGGAGCGGCCGAAAACAATGGTGTTCTTAATTTTGGTCTCTAAGTGTTCGTTGCTGGCACGGAGAACGGGGCCCAGTTTTGTGTGTCCATCTTGTATCCCGCAGCCCCGCTGGACACGCTCGGTAGTTCTAGGAGATACTATGTTTGTATAGATTTCCTTGGAATTTTCTTAGCCCAGGGCCATCATGTCCTTGATAAAAATGTGCCGCTTTCTCTCTTCCTCTCATCTGTATGCCTCTGATTTCCTTTTCTTGCCTTATTGCTCTGGCGAGGACCTCCAGTACAGTACCCAACACAAGGGCTGAGAGCAAGGGTGCCTTCTTGCTTCTGATCTGGGGAGGGGGGAGCTCCCTCAGTCTCTCACCACTGAGTACGAAGGTAGGCGTGGCTCTCTGCTGACCCCCTTCACTGGGCCGCAGGGGTTCTCTTCTCTTCCTAGAGTCCCGAGAGCTTTTTTTTTTCTTTTTTTTAATGAAATAAGTGTAGTTTCTAAACAATGATGCTGTAATTATATGCTATCTCATTACATTTTTTAAATTTAGTTTTTAGATTGTGCTTAAAGATACATAGCATACACTCTATCATTTAAACCATTTCTAAGGGCCGCCCGGGTGGCTCAGTCATTGAGTGTCTGCCTTCGGCTCTGGTCATGATCCCAGGGTCCTGGGATCGAACCCCACATCGGACTAGCCTGCTTCTCCCTTTCCCACTCCCCCTGCTTGTGCTCCCTCTCTCGCTGTCTCACTCTCCCTGTCAAGTAAATGGATAAAATCTTAAAAAAAAAAAAAAAATTCTAAGTGCACAGCTCAGTGGCATGAAGAAAGCTCCTCCCATCCTGCAGCCACGCCCACCCTCCGTCTCCAGAACTTTCCATCCGTCCCCACGAAGCACAGACTCCCCACCCCCTGCCCCAGCCCCGGCTCCCATCCTCTCCTCTCTGTCTGCGTGGACGGGACTCCTCTGGGGACCTCCCGGGAGTGGGGACCTGCGGAACAGGTCCTTCTGGGTCTGGCTCCTCTCGCTGAGCCCCGTGTCCTCGGGGTCCCTCCGCATGTGGCAGGGGTCAGAATGTCCTTCCTTTTAATGATGCCTTCTTATTTTTAATTACCTCTCACCTTCAGAATCTTTCTCATCCATCTGCGGACCGTTTGCCTGTCATTCGACTCCTGAACCCTCCCACTTCCGCAGCCATCCAGCATGGAGGCCACTAGCCACGTGTGACTTGAAATTCACACCTGCTAAACTGAAACTGAGTTAGAACTTCCAGACTTCAGTGGCACGTGTCACCTCTCAATGCTCAATGGCCCACGAGCCTTCCGGTGACCGAACCGGACGGCGCCAAATGTTACCATCCGCACAGAAAGTTCCACCAGGCTGAGGGCCCCTGGAGGTTTCCATGAAAACTCCAGAGCAAAGGGGCACAGGTAAGCCCTCCTGTCCCATCTCCGCACACAGCCGGCCCTAAAACGTACTCTCCTCAGGTCTGCACAGATGTGCCCAGAGAGGACAATGTCGAAAGGACGGCTGGTGTCTGATGCCCCACGACGCCCCAGGCCCCAGGCTAGGAGCTTTCACAAGCCGAGTTTCACTGGGTGAAAAATTTCCGGCACCATCAGATTCAACCCGCCTGGCCAGTGAGTTTGGTAAACTGAGGCCCACCTCAGAAAGTCTATACCCCAAAGCTGATGTCAAGTTAAAGAAACCGTGTGCCTAGCACTGAGTACCTCTGCTGTTCAGGGCAGTATCTGGGGACGTCCCTAGGTCGCCATGACAATGGGGGTGCTCCTGGCATCGAGTGAGTGGGGCCAGGGATGCTGCTCAGTGCCCCTCCCCCCAGTGCCCAGGACGCCCCTGCCCCTGCGGAGAACGACCCGGCCCAGAGCCGGCAGTGCCAAGAGGGGAGACCCTGGTCTGGACACACCCATTTTCAGTGGGGATGAAAGCGCTTTTGGTGGGGGGCGGGGGATGGAGAAGCTAGACAATTTTGCTTTTTTGTGTATAAAACATGAAAACATGAATATAAATACGGCACCGGAATAGATATGCACCTGTGATATGAAACCTTCATGGGGTGCAGGGATTAAAGGAAAAAATGTCTACAAAGGATCTGCTGGGGCGGCAATGATAAAATTGGGGTTACATTTTGTACCCTAGTGAATTTTTAAAGGACTGTAAAGGGAGAAGGGAGAGTATGGGACAGACACTGGATGAGACCTGCTAGGTCATAAATATTGACCCTCTGGGCCTTTACTGAAAGTCCCCTGACTTCCTGCTGTGTGTCGTCCGGCAAGTTCTTGACATCTCTGAGCATCCTTTCCCTCATGCCTAAACTGGATGTGAACCACATGACACATTCCTTTCCTTTGGAAAGGAGCTGATTGCTGGGCACCTCCTGGGGGACACAGCAGTGACCAAGATGGACAAAAGGCCTTGCCCTCGTGGCACTCATGTCCTGAGGGGGGAGGGACAGGCCATGACTAAGTGAGCAAATACGCCAGGAGGAGAACCTCAGGCTGTGCCGAGTGCAAGGGAGGCCAAACCACCAGGAGGGAGAGGGGCTTAGGCCAGAGCTCCTGGGAGGGCTGATAAGGCCACTCCACGTGAAATGGTCCATTCTGGTAGTTAATACTTAGTGAGTCATTTCTTTGACTATACTGGGCCGCCATGTTTCACCTCCACTGACTTATTTAATCAGCAA